CCCGTGTCCCCTGCATCGGCAGGCGGACTCTCAACCACTGCGCCACCAGGGAAGCCCGTGAATCTCCTTTTTAAACAAAGAGATCCTTCTCCCAGCTTGAGACAGTGGAAGCTGACTGTCCTTTCATAGCTTGAGTTTATACTGTTCTTTTACTGTACCTATTTATCATATACCATGACAACTAATCATTTACCAATTATGGTAGTGACATAAATTTCCCTTTAAAATTAAACTTATTTAGGATTTGAAAAGTGGGTTGATTTGAAGAAAAGTACCATATAAATAAAGTAAAAGTAATTTAGAGATATAGCAAAAAAATCATGAAATTGGTAACTGAATGGTTGACACTTGGGAAATATTGAGCTATCTAACCTAAGCCACTCATTTTATAGACAACAGAGACTCAAGGTCACCCAAGGTCTCTCAAGGTGTTGGTGGCCCATAGGGACTATGGCTAATGAATCTTTGGCTAATGAATCTTGATCCAATGGCAAAGCTGAGACGAGAATCCAGGAATGGGTTCTTTTTTTTCTTGGTTTTAAATAAAGGGCTGCCCCGATTCAGATTTACCCAGGACCTCCTAGATAGGCCATAGTGAAAGTCGTGTAAAGATGAACCTCTGAAGAAAACTAGGCAGGAAGTGAGAGCTCTGGATTCCAGCTCAGGCTCTGTTGATGGAGGAACTGAGGCACTGTGGGCATCCCCAGCCTCTGTGGGCTTCTGGTGCCTCAGCTCTGTGATTGGAGCATTGGACCAGATGGAAACCTCCAAACGTCCTTCCTGTTCTAGAATTTTATGATTCTGGCATCTGTCCCCAAGGAAGGAGAGCCTAGAAAACGTGATCTGATTTTTAAACAACATCCCTGCTTATTGTCAGTCCCTGCAAGTGTGGCCACATCTTGACCACTCAGGTGTCAGCTAATTGTCTCGTCGGTGCCTTCACTGTCCCCTGCTTCCTCCTTTGGGCCACTTCCCTGTCTTGGGTGGCTTCACCAAAGGATGGGGAGTCGGAGGGAAGGAGGAAGAGAAGCCGTAACACAGGCTCCTGGGTGGGGATGAGGTGAGAGCAGGGGAGTCATTCCTTGACAGACTTGCTGGCCTCACCTCGAGCCACAGACAGGGCAGGATTGTGGGTGCGTCACCAGCGCGGTGGGCTTGGTCACATGACATCAAGAGCCTATCACAGGCCAGCTTGTTTATAATAATCAGATGGGCGATGGTAGGGGTAGAAACTGTCAACCAGGGGTAGGAGTTAGGTGGTCTCTGTGGCTCTCCAGGGAGTGCAGCCCAGGCCCTGGCTTCTCACCCTCGTGGCTCCCTTCTCCCTGCGTGCCCCCCTAAGGTGGGCTCGGCGCTGTGCGGGTCGCCGGTCCTCTGGGTAACAGCCGCCTGCCCCTTTCCTTCTCTGTGAGTGCAGCTCACTCCGTACCTGCGGTGCTGACTTTGGGGTCTCCTGAGTGGGAAGAAGAGGAGGAGACGGACCTTCGGGCTTTTAAGGAGCTAAAGGCCTTTCTCGAACGCGGAGCTGGGGCTGGTGGATGCCCTGCAGTGCCTGGACCGCGGCGACCGGTGAGGAAACATTCCCTGTGCCCCAGCCGCCGCCCCCCCGCCTCCCCCACTGCAGGCCCTAGTGGCTCTCCTCGTGGCCCAGGTTTCATCAGAAGGAAGCACTGTCCCCTGGAGGAGGCGTGAGGGGGAGTGCCTGTGGGTCTGGCCGCCTGAGCCTGCCCCGTGCACTGCTCTGTGGCGCACCAGAGCCAGCCCTAGAAAGTACGATCTGACTCCGTGGCGCTTTCGTGGGGGCCTGAGGAAGGTCACAGCCCTTCATTTTTCTAAGTCAAGTTCATTCTGCTCCCGTGTTCCTCCCACACACAGTCTTAGTTGCGAGCAGAGCGATGACTTGGGGTCCAGAACGTTTGCAGGAAGGCCTCCTTGCCTTCAGTCCTCACATGCAAGTGCCTTCTCTTGAAGGTCCTGGCTTTGTGTCTGGCGTAGGCCCGGGCTCTGGGGTGGGCTTCCATTCTGGGTGGGGATGGGCCACGGGCCCCGTAGAATGGCTTGCACGGGACGGTTAGGATGTCAGCCTGGGTGTTACACCAGGACACCCTGCTGCCGAGGCCATTGAATCCCTCCGCACTGCGGTGGAGGTGCTGGTGACGGGGAGGCCCTGGTCTGCAGAGGGAGGGGGCCCCTCCCATGCCCACTGCCTGTGACAGGGCCTGGACTTGCTTCTCAGGCAGATGAAGGGGAAGGGCCTGGTGAGCATCCAGCGCCTGGCGGCCTGTCACTCGGAGGTCCTCGCTGGGAGGCTGCATGACGTGTCCTTGGCTGTGGCTAGAGAGGTGAGGCCTTCTGTGTCCTGTGTACTCCGCTTGACCCCCAGCCAATCCCCCTTCCCTGGTGGTGTTGCTCAGTGTGGGTCACACAGCAGCCACGGAGGGGCCCACGGCTCCCTGCAACGTGGGCATCCCTGCCTATTTCTCAGCCCTCAGCCACTGAAGCAGGAGCTGGCCACCCATTTCTCAGATTGGAAAGCTGAGGCCTGGGGTTCCTTTATTTCTAATCTCTGGGTATTGAAACAATCAGAATCTTATGTGCCCATTTGTCACAGCCCCGCATTGTCCTCTGTACTTAGGACGCCTCAGGAGGGATGGAGTGTTCTGGGCCAGATCTCTAACTTCTGGGCAGTTGTAACATTTCCCAAATTCTTTCTCCTGTGGGGCTAGAGCTTGGCCTAGGGTGGGCTCAGAGGGGCAGTAAGGTGTATCTTATCACAAGTAGAGGCCATGACCCATGCCCTTGGGAATAGACTGTTCCACTGGGGGGCCTTGTGAAGGTCCAATTAAATAATTGTGTTTTCAAGACTAAGTGTTGCACAAATTTCAGATGATAATGACAATAATAGAATTGATAATTATGATGATAGCAACAGTAATAGTGTTTCTTTAAAACGGGACTGTTTTGCCCAGAGCAGCTGCAGGGTTTCCGTTTCTAGCCTGGCGAGGCCTAGGCCCGGGTGAGGGTGAAGTCTGCCGGAGGGCGGTGCAGGGTTCCTTCTTCATATGTGCTGGAGCCCTTGGCAGGGCCCAGCAGCCTGGCAGGGTCCCCCTCCCATCTCTCTCCAAGGTCACCAACCTCCGCCCCAAGGTGTCCCGCCTGGCCATCAGCACCCTGGGAGAACTCTTCCGTGCCTTGAAGGAGAATATGGACCAGGAGGCTGAAGAGATCGCCCGCTGCCTGCTCCAGAAGATGGGGAACACCGGCACGTTCATCCAGCGGGCGGCCAGATGGTCCCTGGGGGCCATGGTGCAGCACGTGACCCCCACCCGCTCCCTGGTGGCCCTCACCTCAGTGGGCATCTAGTATGCGGGGGCCTGTTGTCTGGGGGGTGGCGGTGGCCTGGGAAGGTGACGCAAAGGGGAGAGGCACTGGGGTGGGGGAGGAGCAGGGAGATGGCACAGGCACCTCACGTATTTTCCCGAGCGAGGAAGACCCCTGTTCCCTGGTGGGCTTCTCTCCCACCTCTCCTGGACCAGCCTGTGGGTAATGAGGGGAGCTCAGGGCAGCCCCGGGTCCCAGCTGGGAAGCGACAGGTGCTATTGTCTGCTCAACACTGGGGAGCCCGTAGTGGCTGTGGTAATGTGTCCAGAGACGGGGTGGCAGAGGCAGCCTTTGGCCTGTGCCTGAGGAGCCCCTGCCACTGTCTCAGGGGAGGGGTGCTTCCTTCTGATGAAATCTGGGCCACGAGGAGAACAAGGCACAAGACCTCCTCCATCTGGCACCGCTTGGCCTTCTGGGGTGGTGGAGGGGGCTGGCAGCTATTGGAGCCTTTCTGCAGCCAGATCTGCTTTCTCTTCATGTAAAAACCAAACACAGCAGCAAAACCAGAAGCATTTCCCAAGGCCTTTCTCCCACAGGGTGAAACAACTCTCAACCCCAGCAAGCCAGTCACGACACCCACCCTTACGCAGGGTGGCCTATCAGGTAGAACCCAGGGCGTGTTGGAGCAGCCAAGAGGCCTTTGCCTACAGGCTCCCGAGCCGTGTTGTCTGGGTTCACATCCTGGATTGTTACTAAACTTCCCCATGCCTTGGTTTCCTCATCTGTAAAAGGGGGATAATATTGGGCTGGCCAGAAAGTTCGTTTGGGTGTTGCCATAACATCGTAGGGCAACACCCGAACGAACTTTTTGGCCAACCCGATGCTAATACTGTTGTGAGGAGTAAAGGAATTGATTCAGGAAAGAGCGCTTAGAGCAGCGGCTGCCTCCACCTAACATTTATTGAATGCCCTCCATGGCTACTATTAACTCGGGAGAAATGAATTGTACTTATCTCTGGATTCCTCCCCATGCCTCCACTTCCTCACCTGCAAGATGATGACAGTAGTAGCTTACAGAGTTGAGGTGATGCTGGTTTGAAGGTGCTCAGTATGGTGCCTGGCAGGGAGGCTGTGCTCGCAGCAAATTGAGACAGCTGATGGTTGTCCGCAAGAACCAGGGGAGCCTGGTACAGGGCTGTGCATTTGAATTCCCGGGGGTCTGGCTAAAATGCTGATTCTGATTCAGGTGCTAATGGTGCTGGTCCCTGGACCAGACTGGGTAGGGAGAGCCCAGAAGCCTCCCTTTGTGTTCCATTGGGACGGACACCAGGACCAGTGTCACCTCATGGACTGTGGGCACATTGAATCCACATTGAATAGGGTGAGAAATAAAGAGGTGACATCCTGATGGGTTCCTCCTGTAAGATTTCAGGTTCTCCCTGAAATCATCCATCCATCTCCTATCCCCCCCGCCCCGTCTCAATTCAGCTCAATGAATGTGCAGGAAACTCCCACGAAGTGCTGAAGGGTCGGCACGTGCCTGGCACCAGTGGGGCATGGGGGATTCGACTGAGAGGAAGACTTGGTGCCCCCTGGAAGCCACGCGGGTACCCCTGTACTTTCCAGGGGACAAGGACACTGCCACCCCCAGGGAGCACAACTTCTGCCTGGAGGGCTCGGAAGGCAGAAGTATGTTATTCTAAGTGGAGAAAATGTGGGCAAGTGCATCATTTAGGCAAAGGCAGGACAGGAGCTCAGGAAGGAACAGGGATGGCAGGCACACAGTGCATCTGGTGACGTCACGTGTCTTCACGTGCTCAGTCCGCCCTGTCATCATCCTTAGTTCCAGTGTCAGGAAGGTCTGCTCTTTCCTTGAAGATTCCCTTTAGTCTGCTCGGGACCAAATTTGGAGCCCACTGAGGCATGAAACTTGGACGCACAACTGTAGGTCCATGTGTGCCAGGCTGGGGACCCACACACCGCATTCCTTGGCTGAGCCCTCGTCCGTGACTGTGTTTCCTTTCAGCCACCGAAACCCTTTAGTCCAGAAGTGCACTGCCGAGCACCTCTCAGTCGTCCTGGAGCAGATAGGCGCCGAGAGGCTTATCTCAGGCACCAGAGAGAGCACAGACACGCTGGTGCACAACCTGGTGAGGCTGGCCCAGGACTCCAACCAGGACACCAGGTAATGCGGGGCCAGGGCCCTGGGGATGGCTGACCTGGCCAGCCCAGGGCAGACAAGGCAACCAGCCAGCCTCAAGGGCCCAGGCCCAAGTAGCTCAGCTTCCCCGGGGCCACTCGGAAGGACAGTCGGTGGACGAAACTGTGTCCTTTCCCTGCAGCTGTCGTCCCACCTCTCCACACCGCCACAGCCGGGCCCGCTCAGGGAATGGCCACTACCCCCCGCCCCTGGTTCCCCTTTCTCACCTTCCACTCCCTCTCTAGCCATTGCAATCTTGCTCTAGTTCCTGTCCCAGCCCAGCTCCATTCTCTATAAAGCCATCCATTCATTCAATTTTTCAAGAGATATTTGATAAGCATTCTTTTCATTACTATGAATATGACTGTGAATAAGAAAAATCAGGCCCCTGCTGTCTTGGAGATTACCTCCTAGTTGGGTAATAAGCAAGTAAATAATTACGACAATTTTAGACACAGATAAGGGGTAAAACAAGATGTGGTAGAGAACTGGGTCAGGGCTACTTTAGATTGAGAGTCAGGGGAAATCTTTCTAAGGAGTGACATTTGCGTGGAGAACTGATTGGCTAGTAGGACCCAGCTCTTTGAGGGTCTGGGGTACAAGAGTCACAGCAAAGGAAGATAGTACAGAGGCTCCCGGGTGGGATAAGCTTGCTGTTTAATGAAGAGAAAGACGAGGCTTCGTGGAGCACCGTGAGTGAGGGGAGTGGCAGGCAATGCGACGGAGAGGGCAAGGCCAGGCCCAGGGGGCCTCACAGGCCCTGGTCAGGAGCTGGGATTCCCGTTTGGGTGTGACCGGAAGCACTGGAGGGTGTTTTCAGTAGGAGTGTGAGGCAGCGTTAGATGGTTTTAAGCAGGAGAGTGATAGGATCTGATTAACTGTCTTTAAAACGTGGCGTTGGGGTGCAGTTAATCACACTCCCCGATTCATGGCGTGTTATCACCATGTCTAGGGCCCCCAGCACGCTCGGTACAGCTCCAGAGGGCACGTCCACACTGCGTTCTGTGTTGTGCCTGAGGCAGTGCCTTCGTGTGGGGTGTCCGTGCAGTGCAACCCTGGAGGGATGCGATGCACGGGATGCCTCCCACCCTGCCCAGTGCACTCCCACGGTGCTGTACCTCAGTCCTCGTAAGTGGCCCCTGACAGAGCCCAGGAAGATCTCTTTGGGAATTTGCCCGGAGCGCGAGTGAGGTCAGGGCCGTGTTCACTCAGGCCGCCCAGGCATCGCCGGGAGCCCTCACGCACGTGGGGCCCCTCCGCCTCCCTCCTGAGTGCCGAGGCGAATACATCCTTACAGCATTGCAGTTTCTGGATTTCACATTTTTATCCATCTGATGGGGAAAAGTTCTAGCTCATGGCTGTTTCAGAATACTTTTTTTCCCCCTCCCTGATTACTAACAAGTTTGAGTGCTTCTTTATATGTTTGCTAGCCTTTTGATTCAAAAAAACATCTCTTTATTCTGTTACTCCTACAACATAATGTTAGGCTATGGGAAATTCGATGGAGAGGAAGAGGGCCTAGACAAAACAGAGCTTTTTTATACTTGGAGCTTGCTGTCTCTGTAGGATCCTGTTTGGGGATTTGCTGCCTCTCCATTCTACCTCTCCAGGAATCAGCCCATGAAGATAGCACAGAGATTCTCTTTATCGGACCCACTACTGTTGAACTATTCTCTATCTGTCCTCTTTCTTAGAGGGGGCAGCAAGACAATTTTGGTCTCACTACAGTATTCTCCAAAGTAATTTGTATATGCCTCAAACCCTTCCTATATCATTAAGGATCCAGGTTTTTGAAAATCAGGTCAGGAAGAGACAACCCCTCAACCCTAGTATCTATTGTTAAATCCCTTCCTTGACTCACTGACCAGTGAAAGGGCTGCATGACTAAAGTTAAAAAAAAAAAAATTGGACGTTTCAGGGGAGACTAATCGTGAAAATATTACCCTATGCACCAGATTTCATGATCCCCAAGCTTTCCTCCTGGTTTTCAAGCTGATGGGTGTTCTGATCTGGGGAAAGAATGATTAACAATTTTGGCAGCTTTCTCATTTTGTTTTATCATTTTTTAGTAAATATTCCCTTTGGTTACCTCATAAACAAAAATGATTTATTAAAAAAAACCATCTCTGACTACTTACTGGAGGATTGATAGTGGGGGAGAGGGGCCAGGATGGAGAAGGGATGCCAGGCAGATGGCTACCCTGGAGTCCCAGCAAGAGGTGCTGGAGGCTGCAGCAGGGGGAGGAGGGGTGGAGTAGGGTATATTTTGAAGGCATAGTTGATAGCAGTTGGGTGCTGAGGATTTCAAAGAGGAATCAAAGATGATGCTTAGGTTTTTAAACTGAACAACTGGGTGAATGATAGTGCCATTTACTGGCAGGAAGAATATTGTCAGGGAAGTAGAAGATTTTGGTTGGCAGGTTCTTCATTGGTGGTGGGGGGGATGGGCGTTAAGATCCAACATCTCTCCAGATCTAAACCCCTCTCCATCCCGACCCTCTCTCTCACACTGGATGACGTTGACGGCACTTCATTTTCCTTCTTGGAACCCTATGCTTCCGGCTTGCATGGTACCACATTCCCTGGTTTTCCTGGTTCCTCTGTGCCTTTCTCCCCCGCCTGCCCGCACCCCGATGCCCGTGGCTGCAGGAGTGTCTTCGTCCTCATCCCCCTCTCGCAGCCTTCTCTGAGCGGTGCCATCACTTCCTGTGGCTCCAGCCACAGCAAACTCTGATGCTTCCCCATGTCTCCCTCCGGTCCAGCCCTTCTCTGAGCATCTGTCCCATCTCTCTGATGCCCCCACAGGACCCATCACCGGGATGTCCCACTGTCATTGTCAGTGCAAACTGTCCCTAAGTGAGCTCAACGCCTTCTCTTGAAGCCTGCTTCTCTGGCTATGTTCCCTCTCTTATTAAAGTCACTATTATTTACCGAGTCGTCTAGATGCAGAATGGGGAATTTCATACTCATTTTCCCCCTCCACATTTTAATATCTTAGAATCCTAGGCATCTCACAGCTGCTGGTGGCCAGGCAGTAGTTATGACTTGGGTTTTACTATCGATACAGTTGCAAACTTGATCATTGTTGCTCATCGTATAAATGTTTGAATTACAGTTTGCATTGTAGGAACTACATTATGAGCCTTTCTTTGCTGGTTAGCCTTTTATATTTATTTAAGGAGTCACTGTGGAGAATTGTTTAATCGCGATTGTTTAATCACGTTTAAAATGTCTTAGAAATATTACACTATTATTTGGCGTTGAAACGAAGCGTTATTGTATATGAGAAAAAGCATGGAAATAGAGCGATGGGGCATAAATTCGATATTAACGCAAATATTCATCACTGAAAGAATGACCCAAATTCCACAGTTTCTTACAAAGCAACCAACAAGTACTTTACCCAACCTAAGGAAGGAAGGACACTTCCCACAAAAGCGTCACTTCTGTTTCTGAGATAGCATGTGAAAGGATGGCCTTCACACACGGGCTGTGTCACTGAAGGCAGTGGAAATCACCAGTGTCTTCTTTTTCTGTTTTTCCTTAGTGGAAAATAAATTGATGGTGCATTTTACAATCAGTGGACTTTTAGGTTGAGTGAAGTATGATAATTCCAGATGCTTTGGGCTTCCCCTCCAATCACCTACCAAGTCCTGCAATATCATCTTCTTTAGCAGCTCTTGAATCTGACAGTCCCTACTTACCCCTACCCTCCTGCCTATGTCAGTCCTTCATCATCTTTTGCCTGGACTATTATAATGGCCTCCTAACAGGTCTCCCGGCCCCGACCCTTGTCCCCAAAGATCCATCCTCCACAGTGCTGCCTGAGACATTTTGACTTCAGTGCAAATCTGATCATTTCTCAGCTTCCCATTGCCTGCAGCCTAAAGCCCAACTCCTTCACGTCTCCCTAAATTGAGTCCTATCTTCTTCTCTAGCCTATTCTCTCCCTGAGTCCAGTCCCTGCCCACTATCCTCCAACCACACACCTGTAGACCTATCAGACTGTCTTACGGACGCTGGGATGTCTCCCTCCTCCACTTACTCCTTAATCCCATCCCACTTGTGAACTCCTACTCATCTTTTGAGTCCCAACCCAAGGTCACCTCTTCAGTGAAGCCCTCCTTGATGCCCTCCCCCCTTGCCCACAACTGTTTATCAGATAGAGTTGACCACTCCCCCCTATACTGCCCCACTGCACACTTCCTCAGACTTCTAAATGTCTCATGCCAGAAAAATGTTAATACACTTTGGTATAGTCATCTGACAGAATATTATTTAGCCATTGAAGAGGATGACGTGGGAAGATGATTAATGGTAAAGTGAAAAAAGCTGGGTAAATATTGCGTATATATTCTGATATCAATGAAAAAATATATATATATGCTTAGAAAAAAGACTATAAGAAAATATGTACAAATTTAAGTGGTTTTCTCTTGGTAATGAGATTATGATTGTTTATTCTTTCATGAATCTAGTTCTTAACTGGGTGGGGATTACTGTCATAATTAGAAAAAGTATTAAAAATTCTCTTACTTTAATTAGAAAAATTATATAAAGCAAATTTATATTGCATTTCTGTGGTTGTTTTTCATCCTGCTCTTTCTCCAATGGCAGGTTTTATGGCCGGAAGATGGTGAATATCTTAATGTCAAACACAAGGTTTGATGCATTTCTGAAGCAGTCCCTCCCATCCCACGACTTGCAGAAGGTCATGACAGCTATTAAACAGTGGCTGAGTCAGCAGGCAGTGAGGTGTGAGCTGGTCTGGGGCGGGAATCAGAGCTGAGCCCGGCAGCCCGCAGCCCTCACGCTGGTCAGGGGAGGGGGGCATGCACTCCAGAGGCTTTAATTTCATCCACGACTCCTGACGGGTGGAATTTCCTTCCTGGTGCTCAGACCTGCTTCTGCCTCTCACTGCCTGTGTCTCTTGAGCCTCCCGGGGCCTCTTTGCCTCCATCTTTTAAGTGGGGATCTTGATCCGTGACCCGATTACCAGTGCTCTGGAAGACTCCCCTGTGCCCTCCCAGGTGGAACAGGTTATTCCTCTTGTTTTGGTCTAGACTGGAGTGTCTGTCCATTCCCCACAGGGCCACCCGTTTTGGTTCATGTTCTGTGTGTATTTTTCAAGGGAGTAGAAGATGGTGATGAACTTCCATCTGCCAAAGGCCGCAAGGTGTCGAGGAGTCTGGTGGTGTGTGAGAATGGGCTGCCCGGCGAGGATGGGTACAGTAGCTCTTGTCTCCCTGGGGCTCCCCATCCAAGACTGTTGATGGAGATGTTCTGCTTGGCCCGGGCCCGCCGTGGTGGCCCTGGGGGGAGGGGTGTGCATCTGGGCTGTGACTGAGACCTAGTTGGGTCAGCAGGACTCATGGGTAAATTTACGGGAAGGGTTCCCTCACCCAGATCTTGGGGAGAGCAAATGCTGGGCTCAGGACCATCTGCTGGTAGAGATGGGCTCCTGCAGTCTTGGCCGTGCAGGTGCAGTTTAAGTGGGATGGATTGTTGGTCAGCCTATTTGTGTGAGCTCAGAGTTCCTCCATTCACTTAGAGCAGCAGGGCCTTTCCCCATCAGAGTGGCCAGCCTGGGACTAATTTAGAGGCAGAGGTGGAATCAAGGCGGATGAGAAGGAATGGGACAAGGGGCTAGAGGGTGGGCATTAGGAGGGGTTAGAAATCCAACAGGAATCTGACAGTCACTCCTGTGCCTAAAACTTAAGGTCCTTCTGCGATGCCCTGGGAGGAACACGTGTAGACTCCTAAGTTGGGCCCCCAGGGAAGCCCCCTGCCCACCTCTTCTCCCTGCTCTCTCTCCCACGCATGCTCTCTCAGCTCATGTTCCCTGCGTTCTCTCTCACTCCTGTGCCTTTCCCTATGCTGTGCCATCTGTACCGGAACATGCCTATTTATCCTACAAGATGTGGCTCACCTGTCACCTTCTCCCAGAAGCTCTCTCTGACTCTCTGCCCTCATGTCCTCCGGTTGGGTCGGTTGCCCCCCTCCTTCAGTCCTCTGTCTCCCATTGGTCTGTGAGCTCCTGAGGGCAAAGTCCACATCTCTCATCTCATTATTCTCGGTGTCCGGCACTTCTCTTGGAACTCAGTAGGCAAAGAGTGTGGAATGTAGGGATGAATGTCAGAATGATGTTGGGCTCTACTGGGTGGGACCCAGGTGTAGGGCATGAGCTCAGAGACTCTGGTCTGAGTTGGTGGTGGGCTGTTCGAGTTCTGTATGAAGAGGCTCCCATGCTGGCTGAAACAGGCCAGGGGAAATGATGGGCATGTGATCCCAATGTAAGACAACAGGGCTTCTTAACATTTCCCTAGTTCCAGAGGAGTGTAAGCAGAGCCTAGGCAGCCAGGGCTCAGGATACAGTCTCCTGATAAGACCTTCACCCACTCTTAGGTTAAATTGTGCCAGTCATCCTTCCATGGATTTCCACCCCCTCAGTCCAAGCTCCCTCACCCCATTCTTTTTTTCTTTTTTAAAATTTATTTATTTATTCATTTATTTAATTTCTGCGGCATTGGGTCTTCACTGCTGCACGCGGGCTTTCTCTAGTTGCGGAGAGCGGGGGCTACTCTTCGTTGCGGGGCGCAGGCTTCTCATTGTGGTGGCTCCTCTTGTTTCAGAGCACAGGCTCTAGGCGTGCGGGCTTCAGTAGTTGTGGCTCACAGGATCTAGAGCGCATGCTCAGTAGTTGTGGTGCACGGGCTTGGTTGCTCTGCGGCATGTGGGATCTTCCTGGACCAGGGCTCGAACCCGTGTCCCCTGCATTGGCAGGTGGATTCTTAACCACTGTGCCACCAGGGAAGTCCCCCTCACCCCATTCTTAACGTAGCTTCTGAAAAGAGGAAAAAAAGGCAGGAAGGGAGAGCCCTGCCGCCTGATAAGGGGGTAGAGCTCTAGGCAACTGAACTGGTGCCCCCTGAGGAAAAAGCATTTCCAGAGTTCCCAAGGCCTGTGTCCCCAAGCGGCAGGTGGAGGGGAAGCTGAGATGGACTACGTTGCAAGTGAAACTCTTGTTTCAGCCCCACCTGTCTTTGGGGCTCGTGCATGGGACAGGAGATGTGTCTACCCCCTGGGGCTGCCCAGGTCAGACGCTCCTTCCACGTAGGCTCAGCTCCAGTGGCCCACGGCTGGCAGGGCTGCGCTCCTCCACGCGGGGTGGCTCGGAGATGGCGGAGCAGCTGCGGGAGCTGACACGGCTGCTGGAGGCCGAGGAGTACCAGTCTCGGATGGAAGGCGTGGGGCGGCTCCTTGAGCACTGCAAGGCCAAGCCAGAGCTCATCACCGCCAACCTGGTCTGGGTGAGTGCTGCTCTGTCTCTGGCCTGTCTTTCCCTGGTGGGTGCAACTTTGGAAAACTCGGGACATGGTTGGACATTGCGCCAGACATCACTTCAGGGTAAAGGGAGCCTGACAAGCACTTGCTATCCAATTGCCACGGTAATGCCATAAGACTATCCGGAAGTGGCCAATTGGGCAAGGGCATCGCCTCCTGCTGGGTGCGCTGGGACCACTCAGAGATGTCCTGGGTGTCTTTCATCCTCCCAGCAGTTTTACAGGGAGGAGGGCAGAGGTGCAGGATGCTGCAGCAAAGGGCGACTCCTGATCCAGCTACGCATGTGAGGTTTTGGGGGCAGAACATGTGGCTCGGAGTAAGCACAGCCTTTCAAAGGCTGGAAGTAAGGGCAGATGCCTGCTAGTTCTGGAAGTGAGACTGCTGACACTCTACATAGAAGAGTAGTTAAGACACAGGCTTCAAGTTCCTTACTAGCTGTGTGATCTGGGCAAGTCATTTAACCTTTGTCAGACTCAGTTTTTGTTTTGGTGGGTTTTTTTTTTGTTTTTTGTTTTTTTTTTTGCGGTACGTGGGCCTCTCACTGTTGTGGCCTCTCCCGCTGCGGAGCACAGGCTCCGGACGCGCAGGCTCAGCGGCCATGGCTCACGGGCCCAGCCGCTCCGCGGCATGTGGGATCCTCCCGGACCGGGGCATGAACCCGTGTCCCCTGCATCGGCAGGCGGACTTCCAACCACTGCGCCACCAGGGAAGCCCGGTTTTTTTGTTTTTTTAATGGTAAACTGAGGACGAGAACACGTGCCTCATGGGTCGTTAAGATCACTCCATGAGCGAGTGCAGAGTACCTAACGAGATGCTCTACACCCTACACCCTACACCCTTTGCACTCATCAAGTTCTCAGTGTACAGTCGTTTCCCCTCTTGTCCTCCTCCCCTTTGAGAGGTGAGCTCTTCTTAATCACTGGGAATGTTCTGGCACAGGCTGGATGGCCCCTGTCAGGGATGCAGGAGGAGTACCCTCCGAGGGCAGTTAGTCGGGCTGTGGGACTCCTGCCCAGACTGGTTCCCATGGGCTCTTGGTTTCTGTTCCCTCAACAGGTCTTTGATGCTTTCACCCCAAGGCTTCAGGATTCCAACAAGAAAGTGAACCAGTGGGCGCTGGAGTCCCTCTCTAGAATGATGCCCCTCCTGAGAGAGAGCTTACAGCCCGTGCTGCTCTCTATCATCATTGCTGTAGCAGACAACCTCAACTCCAAGAACTCAGGAATTTACACTGCTGCAACGACAGCGCTGGATGTAATGATGGATGGTCTGGGTGAGCCTGCCCACAGCCCCTGCTTGGCTCTGGTAGGCAGCTGGCTCCCTCCCTTGTCTCTCTGTAGGGTTAGGGTTGGACATTCCCACCTTCCCTGCTTGGGAATCAGCAGAGCAGTGAAAGGCATTGATTGGCTCTCAGGCCAAATATTTCCCCAGAGGTTGTGTAGGGCAGGGGTGGGCAGCCCGGGGCCTCCCAGGTTCTTGGTTGGCAGGCTTTTCCATGGGACGTCCACCTGTTAGAAGTGGAGATGTGGAGAATATCTAGTCTTGCCTCCTTGTGGTACAGGTGATGGAAATGACTCACCCCAGGTCACACAGCACCACAGTGAGTGAGCCAACAGGACACTGATGGGAAAGCAGATCGTGATTGCCAAGAAGGAGTTAGGAGGAGTTGTCAGATTTTTTCAGTTGTAGAGATGGTAGCAGGGGATGTGGCTTGTATGGGGACCAGGCAGGATGCTAGTGAGACAGTGGGGCAAGTCTGTTGGAGAGGACAAAGGTGGCCACCCTGGTTGTCTGACATGGGAGTCAAGCTGGGACCCATTGGCTTTTTGAGCATGGAATGAATGAGGGTTGCCTTTTAGGAAGACTGGGGCCAGGGCTTGGGGTGGGAGGGATTTGGGGTGAGGGGTGGAGAGTGAGGGTGGAGTGGAGGCTTGGGGGAGGAATGAAAAGAACAAAAAGGCGGGAGCTATGGGAGAGACATCAGGAAAGGCAGGAGCTCCTCTGTTCCTTAGGTGCTTTGCAGTAGCACATCTTGGTTCCTGAACGTTAGGTGGAAATCTTGGTGCATCTGTTGATACTTCTGTTATTCATTCCTTTCGTAGATGATTGGACGGTGATATTTGGTGTGTCTAGTACACAGACTGAAGTGCAAGTTTGAAACCTCCGGTGTGTGAGAACGTAGTACATGATAGACGTATGTCCAGACCAGTAGAACCACGAGTTTTCACAACCTAACCTTGCCTTGCTGTGAGGAAATGTATGATCTCTGTTGGCCTTGTTGCCATATGTCCCGATGAACACGGAGCAATGTCCTGCCTCTAGGATGCGCCGAGCATCCCCATGGTGCGGCTGGAAACACTGCCTGGCGCACCCACCCCTCCTCCCCATACTGCACCCTGGCCTGAGTGCAGCTCCCTGGGGCTGGGACAGCAGCTGTGTCCTTGGCTGGAGCCTCCAGGAGACGTTTCAGTTACAAATCAAAGGTCTGGTCAGGCCCTTCTCCGCCTCTCGAGATCATAAATATTGTCAATTTCCTCTCTCCATCTCAGAGGGAATTTATGATTTGCTGAGTGTGTTGCTGTAGAACAAACAAAATAAATCCAGCTCTAAATTACGGCTTGTTCTCAGCACAGCTCTGGGTAGGCGAGATTGCTGTCGCCAACAACCAAGGCTCTTGGTAAATCACCGCGGGCCCTATATTTACTGGGAAAACCTGCATCAAGCAAAATAGGCTTTAGCTATGTGAAGAGGCTAAGCACCCTTGTCTGGCGAGAGGAGCTTTTAACGCTTCCCCCTCCAGGTGTTTTAGTTTCCCCTTTTTGCCTTTGAGTCGGCCTCCTTCTGCATGCTGGGGGCTTGGAACTTTGGGCTGCAGAATCTGGTGTCTCACACTGTCGCAAGACTCGGATCCCCTCTACGTGGGGCCCTGCTGTTTCCATTTGGGCTGGACACCCTGGAAAGGGGGCCTGGGGATGGCCTGCTTCTGTGATTTGACCACCCCTTGAGGCAGGTTGCAGCAACCAGGGAGATGCCTATACTCCTCCTTTCCTCCTGGGACAGGGTCTCCTTGGGGATGGCTGACGATGCTCCTTCTGGCCCATCAGCTGGAGGATTTGGTGCGGGGAGAATGGAGGCAAGTGAGAGGGTCACTGCCCTTCTCTCTAATTCTTAGGTCAGCGCTAGGCTGGAATGGAATGCGGTCAAAGGGATGGATGGAGCCCACTAACCCCCTGGCACAAGGCTCCAGAGTGTCAAGTCCAGGGTGTTGGCTCCAGGTCATTTGAGCAGGCGTGGTCAAGGGCTTTGCTGTGAGCCATACTCTCTCAACCCAATCAGCAACGTTGCTTTTGGAAGTGTTCTTAACTGTGACGTAATGAGCCAGCTTCTAAATCCGTGAAGGTCAGAACTGGAGGGATTAAGTTGCCAATGAGAATTTATCACTGGCAGGGAGTACCAGGGGTGGAATCAAGCTCTCCCAGGGAATGGTTCTCTTCTGCCTGGAATGGTCTAGGCCTGGCCTGCAGAGGGAAAAATGGATGCAAGTAATGAAATTTCCCACTGTCCCAGGGGATTAGGTGGTGGACACAGTCTGGGGTGGGTGTGACAGGAGAGAAGGGTGTACATCTTCCTTCCCATATCACCCAGGCTGAGCCCGGGCAGCTCTAGTCGACCTTTAGCACCCAGAGGCCCCTCCTGGAAGTGGCGTGGAGCCCTTCGAGCAGCCGGAGCTTTCTCCCAAGCCGGATTCTTCGTGCCCCAGGAGGGATTCTGGGCTCCAGGCTGGAGAGGAGCTGTGAAGTGCTGTGAAATAAATGTGTGGAAAGTCACAGCATGTTACTGTTTGTTTCCTGCTCAACGGGGGCCAAGGAGGTAAAGAATACAGGTGAGGCAGGCCGTCTTCTGGCACAAAGTCCAGATCGCACAGCCAAACTGGGAGGTTGGTCTTTTTAGGTGACCTCTTGATTCTGGAATTGGGTGACAAAATCCACGCATCAGCCACCACATCTCTCCCAGTCCCTTCCTTTTCCCTAGGGTGAGTGGGGCGGTGATGTGCTGGTTGACAGAACAGGTGGGATTTCTGCCCATGTCTCCTTTTGGGGGACAGTAAAAAAGGAGAGACGTTGGGAGCCTTGTTCCCTAACCTCTGCCCTTTGTCACTGCCTGCCTTAAGGCCTCTCTGGGGCTGAGCCTGGAGTGGCACCCTTTCTGCTCCTCACCAAGACCCTCTGATTTCAGGGGAGTTGTTCCAGGGATCAAGGCAGTTCCTCAGCAGACTGGTTGGTTCTGTCTTTGGGCTCTGTTACTGGGTTAGTTACAGAAGAAACTTCACTAATTAAAGCATCAGGCAGCTGACAGCTCACCGCACTCCTGGTTAGACTGAACGCCAGAAAAAGTTCTCTTAATGTAGTGCAGCCCCTGGCCAGTGCTGGAGGGAGCAGATAAACTCAGAAATGGGCAGCTTGAGATCTACAATACTTCTGCTCCTTTGCTCTGACTTTATTTAGTTTTTTATTTTTTATTTTTTAAAATAAATTTACTTATTTATTTATTTTTGGCTGCATTGGGTCTTCGTTGCTGCGCGTGGGCTTCCTCTGGTTGCGGTAAGGAGGGGGCTACACTTCGTTGCGGTGTCGGCCTTCTCATTGCGGTGGTTTCTCTTTGTTGCGGAGCACGGGCTCTAGGCGCGCGGGCTTCAGTAGTTGTGGCACGCGGGCTCAGTAGTTGTGGCCCATGGGCTCTAGAGTGCAGGCTCAGTAGTTGTGGTGTACGGGCTTAGTTGCTCCGTGGAGTGTGGGATCTTCCTGGACCAGAGCTTGAACCCGTGTCCCCTGCATTGGCAGGCGGATTCTTAACCACTGCGCCACCAGGGAAGCCCCTGTAAATACAATTTTCACTTTGCTCCTTTCATTTAATACCACCCAGTTTCCCATGCTGTTATGTAGTCTTTCTAGTTAACTTAAATATATTAATATAAACTTTATTTTCCTCCACTGTAAAAGTCATAATTATTAATTATTGAGAAAGTGAAAAATGTGAAGCCTTTGGAAGGAAAAAAACTTACAGTCCCAACTCCTCAAAGAAACCATTATTAACATTTAGCATTTTTTATGTTAGGTATTTTTTTCTGTGCATCTTTGTGTATGGTGTCATGATAACATTACACATTTAAATTTGCATCCTTCTTTAGAAAAAGCAGAGCATGAGCATTATATATAATTACACACTTGAGTCACTTTTAACAGTTCCGTCATGTGCTATGGCATAGCCTGTATTTTTCTGTTTCAGTGGATCTTTCCCAGTTTTCCTGCAATGAACAGACCTAGCTTTCCTGGCCACGGAGAATTTGGCTGTGTGACATATTATAACTTACTGAGTCTTGTGCTTATTGTTGGGAGCCCGGTTTGACTGCAGTGTCTTTGCTGCCACTGTCCATGTAGCATGCTGCCTATGTTTTCTTAAAAGTTTTTCTCTGGCTTCCCGGTAGCCTGGGGATGATGTGGCTCAGTGACCTTGAGGTTTGGCTGAATAGAACAGGTGAGAGGCCTGCTAGACCTCAGCCCCACTGTGGGGAGGGGAGGCTAGGTCCAGGGAGGCCAAGGTGTCTGGCTTGCCAGCCCGTGGCTATTTTCTCTATATTGAAGGGCTTTGCTTGTCCCTTTGCTTGGGCAGCACCAAAGCCAGTGTGGCTTCCTTGTGGTGTGGAAGAGAAGCCTATGAAAACCCTGGGCTAGGCTAACAGAGCAGGATTTTTAAGTTTTTGAAAGTTAGATTCCAGCCTCTTAATTGGATGCCCTACCATGAAGGTTGCTGGGCTTTCAGAGTATTTTAGGTAATAATAGTAATAGTAGCCACAATAACTGATACTTGCATAGTAATTATCTGCTCAAGGCACTATCCTAAGCAGTTCTATAAGGAAGGTACTAGTATTATCCCTGTTTTACAGATGGGTAAACTGTGGTTTAGAGAGGGTAAGTGACTTGTCCAATGTCACACAGTAAAACATGGAAGATCCAGGCGATCTGGACCGAGTCCACCCCCTTAGACACCGTCTCATTAAACGTGGGTATGACCTGAAAGGTAAGCCATCACTATGCAAGTAGTCAGAGGCAGAGAGGCAGCTACTCGGGGTGGTGTCTGGGGTTTATAGACCAGTTTGGGCCAACTTAGTGTCTCTGCTTCACATTGCCTTGTTCGCCATAAGCATTTATTGGGCACCTGTTGTGTGCCGGGCACCATGGGAGCATGGGCTGGCACAGATGTCTGCTGGATGTGCATTTTCAAGTATTCCCCAGGTTCTTCACTTCTCTCAGGTTCTGGGAGGCCATGCCAGTGGCCAGGAGAGGGGAGGTCTAGCGGCGCCCAGAGAATGTCCTGGACTGAGTGTTGATGGGGGAGAGCAAGGAGGGAGAAGTCCTTGTTCTCAGAGGTGAGCTCATGGCTGATGATGGGGGTGGGACAAACAGAAGCACCTGGAAACAATAATGCAGGTGATGTTGATATAGAAATCTCTTCTTACACATTTACAGGTTTACCAGGACACCCTGAGACCACTTCTCGCTAACTGAAATATTCTAGAGTCTGGCCTCTCTTTTATCTCCCAGAACAAATTATTTGAAAGACTCTGGACTTATGGATGGAGCTTTTGCAAGCTGCAGAGATGTACATGATGTACACGTGTACATTTTCTGCTCTATATTTCTTATGGGTCTCAGCAGGAGAGCAAGGGAAGTAGGAGTTAGCTCTTAACTAGAATGGTTTCCTGATGGGAAAAACAAAGCTTTGCTTGTACATCTCTGGGGATGCTGGGGTATGGAAGGAGCTCAGAGAAGGTGGAACCTGCCTGGAAAGACTTCCTTAGGCAGGTTGCTAATCTCTGTCCCCTGCAAAGAGAAATCTGGTCTTGAGATGGTCAGCGGCTGGAAGTCCAGGACACGCTTGCTGGGGCTGCTGTGGTAACGCACCTCGCCTCCCAGACAGGCACAGGAAGGCCCACAGCCGCATCCCTGAGGAATATGCATTTTGCTGCTTGCCCACCTCCCATGGAATTCTGCTGCGCCTGCTGTGGTTGCAGTTGTTGGGAGCTGGGGATGCTGGGTGCCTCCAGGGGTCATGGAGAGGAAATACAGGGGTAAAAGGAGATGGGTCCTGCCTTGTTGATTTTCTAGGTTTAGCGTCCCTTTCTTAGGTGAAGAGTCACTTTCCTCACCTTGCTCGTCCGTCGTTTGTGAGGGATACAGGACTTCAAGCTTAATAGTTTGGGAAACCAGGAGACGCCAGCTGGAACGGGGGAGAAGGAGCAGCTTCTAAATTCAGTAGCTGTGGGATCCGGCTCGAGCTGACTTTAGAAATAACAATCAAAGAACGTCAGAGAGGGCTTCCCTGGTGGCGCAGTGGTTGGGAGTCCGCCTGCCGATGCAGGGGACGCGGGTTCGTGCCTCGGTCTGGGAGGATCCCACGTGCCGCAGAGCGGCTGGGCCCGTGAGCCATGGCCGCTGAGCCTGCGCGTCCGGAGCCTGTGCTCCGCAACGGGAGAGGCCACAGCAGTGAGAGGCCCGCGGACCGCAAAAGAAAAAAAAAAAAAGAACGTCAGAGAGCCTCTTTATCCCCAAACATCCCCCAGCCCATTTGCTGGGGTTTCACCATTAGTGGTTCATCTCTAATAAACACTCCTCGGGGCTACAGCCTTCACCCATGGGTGTGGCTGGGTAGCAGGAGAGCTGGGCTCCTGGGGCAGTGTGGCTGGAGTGCTTGCTGTGGAGGTGCTGGGAGGTTATAAGTAAACTACTGAGAGATCATATGCGCTTCCCCCACCCCTAACCTGCACATTCCCTCCTCTGACCCTACCAGAGCCAGCCAGGGGCCTCCGCTCCTGACAGGGTGACCAGCCATCCGGGTTTACCAGGGATGTGGGGCTTTCGGTGCTAAAATGGGGAGGGTCCTGGGCAGACTGAGACGTGTTGGTCACCGTAGCTCCAGAACCCCAGGCTCTTGCTTACATGAGCATGGAGCCTCCCACCGCGTTAGAGTTCACGTTCAAGTGTCTGTCTCCTCCGCCAAGGAGTCTCTTGAGGGGAAAGAGGAGCAGAAAGACCAGGTCTTATTTAGATCTCAGCTCCATGCCTATTATTTGGAGGGTATCAGTAAATGTTCAACGTGGAAATAACCGACCATCTGGTAGTGGGTACATTCTGTTGGTTAGAGCCCAAGTTCAGGCTTTGAGGAGAGCCGTGATTTCTGAATTCCGATCCTAGCCCTTTACTGACCTTTGGTATAATCGTGGCTCAGTGCCTCAGTTTCCCCTAAAACTGTATCTCTATATCCACATCTATATCTATTCATCCATCTATCTCTATATATCATTCACCTATCTGTTATCTATCATCTACAGCTATCATATATAATAATTCATCTATCATCTACCTATTATCTATATCTATCACCTACTTGTCTGTCTACCTACCTCTCGATTACTTAGCTATTTCTATCTCATCTATCAATCATGCACCTGTCATCAATCATCTGTATCTACCTATTGATCGGTCTATCGATCTACCTACCTCCTTTGCCCCAAAGCTCACAGCAGTTTTGAGGAAGCACAGACAATATGAACCGGATCTATGGGAGTAAATGGGGCCTGTGATAGTGCAACTACCACTGTTCCCCAAACACCCCATGTACATTCACTTTTTAAAGTGGCCCCATTATAACCTGGAAAAATTAATTCAGCTTCCCAAAGCGGCTCTTCCCTATGTAGGTGCTGCGGGTTCCTAGCCCGGAACAGTTGGTGCCTTTGCTCGGGCCACAGCATTATGACCACTGACATTCTCCGTCTCTTCCAGACAACCTTGGCCTCCTACGAGCATTTGCTAGGCGGGTGCGTTTCCTGAGTGTTCACGCAGTGCTTGATGTCACAGAACGTCTGTCCGGTGAGCATCCAGCCTCCCAGCCCATCTCTGTTCTTCTGCTCTCCTGGCATGTAGTTGAACCACCTACTTATCTTAGACCAAAAATCATCAAATAATCCCCACAGACCATTTTAAAAAGTTGATAATCTGCTTTAAAAAATAATTCCCACATTGCCAGAGACAATCTTTTGTTTTTGGTCAAAATGAGGCAGGTCTGTACATAGCCAAAAAGTTTTAAAGAAACTATTATGCATTTCTTCCTCTTTGCAGATGGGGCTTCCACTAGCCCCACAGGGTACCTTTGTGTGAATCAGAAAAATCCACCTCTCTGGGTCAACACCACCTCATGGGTACCTGGCTGGGTCAGCAGCAGCTCTGTCGCTCTGACCTTGGGCAGGTTACTGAACTTGACAAAAGCCTCCTCCCCCATACTAGGAGGGTCCCATCTAGGAAGGAGGCAGAAGAACCCAATCTGTTCTCTAGACTCCCAAGGGCCCCCTTAAGATCCACATGGATCATGCCACCCCCCAGCTTACATCCTTGTGTGGCTCCCAAGCAGTCTCCAGGATGGTGTCCAGGGTCCCCAGAGTGGCCCACAGGTCACTGCCTGGCCTTCTAGGCTCTGCCCCTTTTATTCACCCCCAGTGATATGCACTGGGTCATTTAATCCTCATAACAACCCCACAAGGAGGGTGTGGGTTCCATGGTTGTCCCTTTTGTAGAAATAAGAAACATGGAGCTAAGGAAGGTTAAGTGCCTAAGGTCCCTTGACTAGTAATCCAGGATTTGTCTCCGGGAGCTGGGCTGCAGAGCCAAGCCCTCAACCTCTGTACGGTGCTGCCGTTCCTTGGGTGGCCCCTGCCTTGGCCTCCTGGGCGCCAGCACGTTGCAGGGGCAGACCTCCCATCCTCTCCCTGTTGCCTGCCCATGGGCAAAGCCCTTCTCACTCTCCTTCCTCCACCGGGGCGGTGCCCGCTTGGTCTGGCATCGCCTCCTCTGTCTCCCTTCTCCCTGGCCCTCCGGCCTGAGTTTCGCGTGCCAGCCTCAGTCGCTGGCCCAGCCAGGGCCTCCCAGCATTGAGCTCTCTGGGGGTGCTCGGTGCATGTCGCCTGCCCAAGGGCGTCATTCCCGCTCCTCCGCCGCCCCACCTCTTGCTCCCGGCCTTGCCTCTGCACCCTGGTTCAGTCCTCCCCGTGTCCCTGGAGTGGCCCCTTACTTCTGGTCCAGGTGCCAGACCTGCTCCAAGCAGATGGCGCGAGTGAGGCCATCTGATGGGGGCTACGATGCAGCTGCAGTGCCAGGCTGTGGGTGCCTTGGGGTGAGAATGGGGTCACATAACTGAGACCACCTTGGGTATCAGACAAGGAACTCTTTTCTGTTACTCGAAATCAGCATTCTCTGATTACCTGTCCTTGTACAGGTAATTTATGGGCCCCAGAGGCGAGTGGGTATCCACTTACTGTAAATATTACCCTTCTATTTCCAAGAGATCTCAAAAACAAGAGTTTCTACATAGTTCTATTAACTCTGTGTCAGCCAGGAACAGGGAAGAAAATTTCAATTGACGCAAGGCGTGGACTCATAATAGCACAGCTTAACGCAGGAGTAAATCTTTTGCTAATTACTTCAGCTGCCTTTTAAGCTCGATTTTAATGAGGTTTTCCTCGTGATGCCCTCCTACCAGCTCCCGGGCCACCCGCTCCCCGCAGGCAGGTGAATGTGGTCTAAGGGTGGACGTGAGCTTCCTGGGGCCGGGGTGTAGATGCCTCACTGCGGGAGGAGGGTCCAGGGGTGAGGCGCCAGGAAGGAGGGGTGGGGGAGGTGTGGCAGGTTAGGGGCAGGTGAACCCCTCACCATTTGGTGGGGTCAGGGGAGCCCTGCCTGGGCTTGGCAGTTTTCACCTCCATTTGCAGGAGAGATTCAGTGGAGGCTTAGGAAACCTTTGAGTTAGAGTTGTTCAGTACAGGTGGCTAATCGGATGATTAGTTTTCTTTCTGTTCCCTCTGGCTGCCCCCCTTCCACCTCCCCTTGCCCCTCCCACCCTCCCACCACCCTTGGGGCTGACCAGGTGGCTTTAGGGTTAACTGTGCCCTCCCTTCTTAGCCTGTTTCCAGCACAGGTAACATAACTCTCACCTCTTGGCCCCATTTTAGGAAGTTGGTGCAGCTGGCGTGGCTCACTGGGTGCAGTCCTGCCTTCCCAGGAATGAGGACCGCCTTGACTTTGGAGGGCTCTGTGTCGCCGGGAGCCCCCCGGGAGGCCCCCAGTGTGGGGTGCAGGAATCTTGAGGGTATGGCCAGAGAGTCAAGGTACACATTTCATGGGAGATGGCACAGTGAGAGAGTCAGGCTGAGCTGAGGGGGGCCCGGGCCATCCTCTCCGGTTCCCCACTGTCCCAGGCTGGCTCTGAAATCAGAGGGACCCTACAGGGCTCCCGCTGCAAAATATCCTGGTGGGTTGGATGAAGTTAAGTTGATGAAGGAAGAACAAATTGGGGGTTTCTCTAAAAATAAAACAAAACTCCAGACCAGCCTCTAAAACGTGGAACTCTAAGAGGTTTGGGGCAGCAAGAGGTGGGAAGAGCGTG